GCTTTTTCTTTGCATCTTTCTTCTAGATTTCATGGTGTTCCTATTTTTCTTATGATTGTTGTGGTGATACTAATATTTACTAATATTGTCTCCCTTTGCTTTGCATCTTTCTTCTGGATTTCATGGTGTTCCTATTTATCCTATGATTGTTGTTGTGATAATAATATTGTCTCCTTTTTGTCCTTTTTTGTCCTTTTGTCTTTTTGAGCCGAGGGTCTTTCGAAAACAGCCTCTCTACTCCTTCGGGGTAGGGGTAAGGTCTGCGTACACACTACCCTCCCCAGACCCCATTAGTGAGATTTTACTGGGTTGTTGTTGTTGTTGTTGTTATAACTTATAACGGTTCTTCAATTACCAAAGCAAAAGGAAAATAATAATTAAAACAAAAAAGTACTAACTTCAATTACATAATAATCGAACGATTAAAAAGATTATCTTATAACGGTTCTTCAATTACCAAAGCAAAATGAAATAATAATTTAAAAAAAAATGTAGCTTAAAAATTACATAGTCTTAAACGGTTCTCTCTCGTTCACGATGGGACTCGAACCCACAATCGACCGCTCCGGAGGCTAGCACCTTATCCATTAAGCCAGACGAACCTGTCGATGTAAACTTCTCATAAACACATATATTATAAAAAATTTCAGTCTGACGAACAACGCAACCAACAACTCCGCTAAGGCTTTTGACAAAACCCAGAAAACCCTAGTTCTCTGTGATAAGGAGGGAGTAAAGAAAGAGCTGATAGCTCAAAATGGTGCTGACAATATCATCAAATGCAGTTCAATTGTCCCATAATACCTCTCTAATTTCTCGACCCAATTCTTATATCAAAAGTTCAATTCCAGCTTCAAATTTATCGTTTTCTTTCCTCAGGTAATAATTTAAACAAACTCCATATTAAAAAACTGCCAAATTTCATCATATCACATTGTATTGTTATTTGTAGTATGTAATACATGGTTTAAATTACGAAATAAAACTCATAATGCTACTTCATATTGTCAATTTATTCTGTTGTTTTGTGTTGGAGTTGCTAAAAATTCAATTGGATTTTGTAAAAAGTTGGATAGTATATGAAAAAGGTTTAACCAAAAATGGGTTCTTTATTAGTATCTCAGCTGAACTCAGAAAGTGAATTTTTATGTTACTGAAATTCATATAGCTGATTCCAATTTGTTTGGGACTGAGGCGTAGTTGTCGTAGTAGTTGTTGTATTGAAATTGTGAAGGTTATGCATACACAGGATTCATATGCTGAAGTATAGGCTACTTGAATAGAGTGGGAATGGATATAGATGATTCATATAAACGACCCCATCTAATTTGAGATTGACATCTAGTTGAATGATTGATCCTTATAAAAAAAAAATCTAGTTGAATGATTGATATATTGATTAATCAAAATTGTGGGAGTTCTTTGTTTATCTTTTGTCCGCCTCTAGGGCTTTAGTCTAGTGGTAAGAGCACAGTGTGTTATGTGGGTTAGGCGCACGTCATGAGTTCAAACTATGCTGCAAACAAAAGCTTGGTATTTAAGTGAGGGTATAGGGACGGGCCTATTATCTACCGAGTCTCGAAACGTGCGTCACTAACCCTTGGGAATTTCTCGGTTATCAAAGAAAAAGGACCTTAGCTAATTTGAGATTGAAGTGTGTTAATTGATTGATATATTGATTAATCAAAACTGTAAAATGGCAATAGGGAGTATGGATATAGGTGATTCATATAAATGACCGCAGCTAATATGAGATTGTTATGTCGTTGATTGATTGATTGATATATTGAATGATCACAACTGTAAAATGGCAATGGTAAGTGTTGGAGATTAAAATTGCAGCCTTTTAACTACACGTTATGATTGCATTTCCTCCTTTAGCAATTGACTGTGTTATCAGACATGAATCCATCAGGCTTTCCATAAAATCTCGACTGAATAAAAGGGTGGTCCGTGCTGCTTCTTCAGCTGCTGGAAGTTCTAGTTCCAGCAACGACTCAAATCCTTATGAGGTAATTCGCAGTTATCACATTTGGACCCAGATATCTTCTTAAAGTTCAGCTCTTAGTGAGGTGTTTGCATCAGTGGTCCTTTGTGCTATACGTGTTCTTGTACAGGTTCTGGGTGTAAGCCCTATTGAGGGATTTGACATGGTTAAGGCAGCATATGCAAGAAGACGGAAGGATGCCGAGCGGAGGGGTGATGAAGCAGCTCTTGCTCAGGTAGTTTATGCTTGGCATCGCTGTCTTGCTCGCTTTCATTCTGCTCATGTGTGATTGTTGTTAGGAGTGAACACTCCAAGTAAGCATTGTAAAATTGTTTTTTCCAGTTGGAGAAGGCGTATGACACGATCATGATGTCACAGTTAACAAAAAGAAAGAAGGGTGTCACATTTGGCTCGTTTAAGGTATTCTTTTATTTTAATGTAAGCTGATATCTTAGTAGTAGTAGTGGCGACGGCTGGTCACTCTTTCGGTTTTGTAAATAACTTTGTATTCTCTGTTTATGTAATATAATGGGTGGATAGTTTTTTTTCAGGGAATGCATGCTTGATTAAGATCCATACAGTCAATTCTTTATTTTTCTTTTCTAGTGTGACAATTTTCCCCACCTTTTACTATATGAAACTAGCTATCTCTTTTACCCATGGAATAAATGCAAGGATTACATATACGCTTGCATTTATGATGTTTTATCTGTCTAAGCTTCAACTGTTTAGCTTCGTTTAGGTACAGATACTGATTTCTCTTTTAAGTTTGTCATTTTTAATTCAGGTATCTAAAGAGATACGATATGCTGATAAGCAGCCTATTGTGCCATGGGGTCCACGGTAGGTATTTTGCTAATAATGCTTCATTATAATAGCTCTTCGAAATTAGATAAACTCTTCTTGCGTGCAACTATATGCAATTGGCACTTATTTTTAAATATTTAACATTTAGTATAGATTCCACTTGCTGAAGTTAGTTGGCTGTTGTGATAACAAGCATTAGCATCTTTATCATGCATATAGTAAATGCCTTACTGCGTGATAAAGATGCTAATGCCTGTATGTGTTAGCATATAGTAAATGCCTTATTGGAAGGGGAGGCTTGGAGTAACGGTAAAGTTGCCTCCGTGTGACCTATAGATCACGGGTTCGAGCCGTGGAGGCAGCCACTAATGCTTGCATCAGGTTAGACTGTCTACATCACACCTCTTGGGTGCGGCCCTTCCCCCGACCATGCGTGAATGCGGGATGCTTTATGCACAGGGCTGCCCTTTTAATAAATGCCTTACTGATTCAACGAAAGCTATTAGTATGCAAACATTTCAATATTTTGTTAGTTTCTCTTCCCCTTCCGGTCCTTGTCCCTTGAAAATCTTTGCTTCACATTTACTGGTACGAAATTTTATGCAGCAGATTATGTGATTTATTTTACCCTCTTTAGGTATAATTTCAATTGTTTTGTTGAATTTTATCATTGCTGTGCTTTCAGGTTCACCAAATCTGATGACAAAGATATGAAAATCAACTTGGCAATTTCAGCTGTATTTGTAAGTACTAGTAGAATATTCATGCCTCCATCTCAAGGTGGTTATCATTTTTGACTTTTCTGATGCTAATTCACAAATGTTTGGAGTAAAATGGTGGATAAATTCATTTAGAAGTGTCATTTAGAAAATTCAGAAAATTATGTGAATATTACTAAAATTGGAAGTATTTTCCTTTCAAAATACCAGATTAGATATGGTTGACTTGAAAATAACGATTTATTGAGAGCTTAATAGTACTATCACTATCACCACTCTCTGTTAAGTGCAGTTTGCATCCTTGATTTAATGAAATATTGATCCTCACGCTCTTAGTGGTACTATGTTGTTTTATGTATTATTTTTTTGCAGATAGCTTGGGTTCTTATAAAGCGGAATGCTGAGTGGAAGCCTTTACAGTTTCTGGCCTTCGTCTTTGTATATAGGATATTTGAGAAATTAAAAGCATTTGAGCCTCCATCTCCCACTTTTACAGTAAGTAAACTTTTCTTCTATTAAGTATACTTTAAGTATGCATAAAATAGTCATTGTTGTCTCTTTCCCTTCTTCCGCATGAGTGTCAGTGAACCTCCTAACATGTCCCTCAGTAATGTGAAGTTTAGTATTTCTTTCAAGTGCATTCATTTTTTAGCTGGGTTTCTTCAGGAGGAGGGCGAAGATGAAGGACGGATGTTGAGGATGGGGAAAAGGCTGCTTCGTTCTCTTGCATTGGTTTTTGGTTGTATAGCCCTTGCATCCTTGGTAGGTTTTTCTGTCAGAGTAATATATAGTGACTGTCCAATTAATTATGGTGTTTATAGATGAAATTCTGACAGCAATTGTTCGTCCTCAGCATGTATATGAAGATGAGAGTTCAATTTCAGCTTCACGTTCTGTCTTCTGCCTTACACTTTTTTTTGGCATCAATAGCATCTTGTATTGGTGTTATATCTTGCGGAAAAGTTCAGGATTAGGGGTGTGTTTGGTATGAAGGAAAATATTTTCCGGAAAATGTTTTTCACTCACCAACCAAACAAAGGAAAATAAGTGATAAAACCACTCATTTTCCATGGAAAACATTTTCCTTCGTACCAAACACACCCTAGGACCTGATTTATGTTGACACAATGGATTTCCAACTTATCCTATTACATATGACCTTTTACCATCATACCATGTGGTCGCTAAAAAGCCTTCCTAGTGCATCCACCCTTATTTTCCCAAGTTATTTTGCTTCTATGTTGCTCCAGACCACTCTTATATGGCATTGTTCTTGCTATTTCTTTTAAGAAATTTCAGTACGCATACAAATCTTTGTGGTTTGTCCAATGCCGAGGAGCTATTTAGTTGCTGCGCCGCTGACTAGATCTGTTCTTTTCTTCTAATTGAAACATTAGGTGGGTTTTTCCTTCGACTAGGGAAATGATAGGTGATTTAATGTGTTAAAAGATAAAACACAGTTTTTTTGCAGACACCTCAATGTCGAACTTGTTTTCCACTCCAAGCAATTTTGCTTCTTCTGAATATTGACAAGTTTTTCTTCCACACACTAATTTTGGCTCCCATCTTTTGCATCTTCTAAACTACTAGGCAACAGAAGTTGCTATCAGAAGTTTGTCAAATAATGCTCAAAAGGTATTTGAAAACTAACTATTAACGTGATGAAAGAGGAAGTGTAAAACAAAAAGGTTATCACGGATGAACATTTCGCTGATAGCTTTGGGCCTAAACCTTCTTCATTGTATCCAAGATTCTTGCTCAGTTTGCAAGTTTTGCTTATAGCTGAACACTTAAGCAGATATTAACTGATTCACGATTGAGAAATGGTGGTGTTGGTAATATAGCAAGTGCGCGTACAAAAATTTGTGGGTCTATCCAAAAACTCATTCTGAAAGAACCTGCCTTTTGCTTTCTGAATCATATCTCATCTTGGAATATATCACATATTTATTGCCTGTCTGTATCAAATTCTTTTATTACAGTTGTGCCATTCATCTGTTACAGGGATATACTGGTCTCCTAAATCTGATCGAGTATGCTAATGGTTTCATACCTGTCTTTCTGTACAACAATCAGGTAAGGGAAGATCTACCTTTTAACACTGCTGCATGAACAAAAGGCTTCACATATGATAAATATGATGATGATGTTTATCTATCTCAAAAATCATCTTTTTGCTGCATTTATGAGTGAAAATCACTGAATAGTTGTGACTTTTCCTGATCTTATGAATAGCTAGAGAAAAAATTCGGTTTGGATTACTTTGTAAGCGACTAGGTTAAGGGAATATCTTAGATCTCAAATCTCTATGTAATCAAAGGAGGTGGTCAATCTGGATTTAGTCTCAGATCACCATAAATTATATTGTTATTAGCCATCTATTTTTTTTGGCAAAATACATAAATCGCCCCTTTAAGTTGTCCTTAACGATCAACTGAACACCTCAACTGATCCCTTTATCATTTAGACACTTCAAGTGTCTATTAAGTAGATCGAGTAAATACCCGAGTGC